TCATAGATAGGAAGAATCAATACTGTTAAAGTGTCAGTTCTTCCCAATATGATTTACAGACTCAATGCAATCCCCCCAAAATCCCAGAAAATTACCTTATGGGTATTAACAAGCTGATGTAAAGTTTATATAGGGAGGCAAAAGATTCAAAATAGCCAACACAAATACTGAAGAAGGAGAATAAAAGTGGCACTACCTGCCTTCCAGACTTACTGTAAAGCTATAGGAACCAAGACAGTGTGATATTGGTGAAAGAGCAAACAAATATATAATTTCTGTACAGTTTCCTCTATGGTCTATAGATAATGGAGTCTCTAAATTTTGAAAGGCTTTTACCATCGTCCCCAGATTCTGACAGAGGAGTCAATTCTCTGGTTGTCTGGGCAATTGCATGTATATCCTAGCTGAGAGAATGTCACTTTCCTCCACTATATTATAAACTCCACGGAAACTGCAGCTCACCAGGTCTGTGCTGGTTTACTGCTATTTCAATCTGCCTTCAGAATAGTGTCTGGCATATGGCAGGTGCTCCAAAAATGTTTGATTAATGAATACATGAACAAAAAACAACAAAAAGATGAACTGAGAGGACATTATACTAATAAGGCAGAAAGAGAAAGACAAATACTAGATGATATCACATATATGTGAAATAAAGTCAAATTCGCAGAAATAGAGAGTAGAAAAGGGGCTGCCAGGGTCAGGTGAGGGGATTGGGGAGAGGTTGGCAAAACCTTCAGTTACAAGATAAATAAGGTCTTTGAAACTGATGTATAACACGGTGGCTATAGTCAATTATACAGTTCTGTATAATTAAAATTTGCTAAGAGAATAGAGCTTTAATGTTCTTGCCCGAAAGAAGAAGAAAAAGGAAATATGTGAGGTGATAGATGTGTTAATTAATGTGATGGGGCATGGTTTTCAGTATATATATATATGTGTATATATATATATATATATATATATATACACACAGATATATAGATATATAGATATATAGATATATAGATATATATAACTTAAACTATCATGTTTTCACTTTAAATACACTTTTGTTAATACCTAAGTAAAACTAGAAAAAATGAGAATAATAAGATGATATAATTTAAAATCCATCAATACTTACTTAGCTTAGTATCGTCTAAATAATATCTTTCAACTATATTACAATATTTGTCCAACAATATTCCATGAAATGTATTCACTACAAATGCTGTTATAGAGTCCAAGAATTAAGTGCTTGGCATCAGTTATGATGCTTGGTTTATTTGGCAAACAATTATTTATTGAATGTTTAGTGTGTTTCTAGCATGGCACCAGTCACAGTACATAGGCAGGTAATTCAATGAGAAATTATCCTTTCCTTCTTAATGCCAGGTCACACTAGCCTACATTTGTAGGACCAACAGGTCATTGTGACTTATCTCCTTGAAAGGTCTCAAGACAATTCTTAACCACTTACTTCCTGCTCTTATAGTAAAGGAATGCTAAGAGCAATTCAACCTACTGCTTTTTGACTAACCCTTTTTTCTTTTTTAGCTTAGAACAAGTCATCACTCCCTGCCCCATAATCCGACTATTTGAGTGGTTTCCTTTTTACTCTACCTCTTCCCTCTTTTATCGCATACTAAGGAAAGCCACCCTGTTTTCCTGGGTGACTTTTTCATGAGCTTTATCATCTCCCACTCCTAACGTGGAGGACAGGTGGGGAAACAGCCTCTTGGCCCCAGACCATGTCTTCTCGTTGCTGCCTTAAAGGTGAGGTTAATATCACCCACCCATTTATATTACTTACTTCTAATCACCCCTGGTTTCAGATTATTCTTTAGTATTCACTTTTACCTTCCTGGATGGATCGCCTGGCTCACGTATTTTCTTTCAACCATTTATTGTTGTTGTTTTTTTTCTTTGAAATGTAAACTACCTTTGCTAGTATGGGAAAGAAAATACAATGGTTAAGAGCACAGACTCTGGGTCACTCATACCATTTGGGTTTGAATCCTGACTAACACTTTAACTGCGATTAAGGCAATTGAACATCTCTGCGCCTTAGTTTTCTCATTTGTAAAGTGAGTAATAATAACATCTACATTATAAGGATTACATGAGTTAAGACCCATAAAACACTTAAATCATTACTAGCACATTAGAAAGCACTCTAAAATGCCATTATCATGATGACCCTTGATGACATAAATATCTAAATTTTAACTATTGACTTTCAACTTCTGGAGATATTGGCATCCACATATGGTTCTACCTTGCAGCAACTAATTTACTCCAAGCTTTCAAATGTTGCATTTCTCTCTAACTATGAAAAATCCTTCCTTAGCCTTCTCACTTTTGAGAACTCCCAGAACATTTTCTCTTGCCTTAAATCACTAATTCTCTCCAGATTATTCCAAACATTAGCAACCTAACTTGGCAAGCCTTAACTCTAAAAATTTCCTAATATGAGTCCTGATTAAATAGTCTAATCTTAATCTCTCCTCTTTTCTTCAAAGACAGACTCATAAAATCTTTCAATGCCCAGAGACTGATAATCTTACTTGTCCTTTAATAACTAAATTTACATATCCCAGGAAGCCCTTTCCTACCATTTTAGAACATACACATTCCATCCTACGACCACCTTTCCCCCTGCCCAGACCCACAAACTCACAAATCCTATATACTTTACAGAATTGCTTACCTGGGCATTTAGTGAGAATCTCTATTTTATATGATATGTTACCTCATCCACTCTACTATTAGCTACTTGAAGGTAAAAACACCACCAGTTGAAGCTGACAATGTGATAGGCATTCTTTTTAAAACTTCATGTTGATTGACTTGTTGAATCCTTATACCAACCTTAAGAAGAAGCTACCTTTATCCTCATTTTATGTCTAAGGCAGAGGAGGTGAAGGCAAGAAAATACTTTTGGCCCAGATCTAAACATAAGATGTATGTAATTGCTGAGGGAATGAACTTACTCATACAGTTTTATAATCTTGCTCTAGTTTTATGAAGGAGGTATCAACATTTATCTTGAGTTCCTCTTTGTAAAATTGCCAAATAAAAGGTGCTTCATTTCTACTACTCAAGACTACAACAGGACATGGCAAAATTAGGGCTCCAACAAATGCTTTCTAAGAGTAAATTTAGGAAGGCATTTTGTTTTTTTTTTATGGTTTTGGATGCTAGTCTGATAATATGGTGTGAAAGCATTTGTAACTTAGTTAGGGAGCACTTGGTTCTATAAGTACTTTTTGAAATAACTTCCAAAGATTAAGTATCATTTATCATATAGCTATCTGTGCACACCATCTCTGAAAAAGAAGAATGTCTATGTTGACTAACAATCAGCTGTTAACTATTTGTGTGCCCTTTGGAAACTCAGATTTATGTGGAATTTCTTATCTGTAAAAAGAGGAAGCTGAGCTAAAATAAACTGACCTTTAGGGAATTGTAAGCAGTCATTCACTTATAAAATTAGTATTTTCTAGAGTGACTGTAAGAATGAAGGAAAATATATTAATGCAGAAGAAAACCAGAACCAAAGTAGGATGGGAACAGTAACTCCAAATATGCATTGGAGAGCTGACTCTTCCACACAAGGGACTTCCATCTGTAACTAGGATTAAATATGGCAATGGGAAAGTTAAGGCCACTCTAGGTGTCCCATTTTCTCATGTGCTCTTTTTCCCTGTCTCTCAATTAATTTTTTAATGCAATCAAACACCCCTGAATCTGAATGCATAATGTTCAACATCAGTTAAATACATTCATCCTTTGTGGGGGGAAAAATTCCAGTAACATACAAAGCAAATACTTTTATGAAGAACTAATTTCAGTAGGAGGAGTAAAAATCTCTGAATAAATAGTTGAGAATCATTTTCATCAAAAAGGCATAATAGGTGCAAAGGATCACCTGTTAGGCTTCTATAGGGAACTGTGTTGTTGTGGTTAAATGTCACTTAGGTTAGTATTTCTTTGGTGTAAATATATAGCCTCTTTCAGATAAAAATTCCCCACTCCCTCCTTTCCTACTTATAAATACAAGGTTCTTGAAATTCAAAAACTCAATAGAAATCAAACATTTACATCTTTGGTTTCTTGTCTAAGTGTGACCTCAGAACTCCAGAGGTAACCCTAAACTCATTTCAGCTCCTTATAAAATACTTATTGTTAGAATTCAAATGTGAAATGCTCTTTAAATGTAGTTTTATCTTCAAATATAAATGTGAGTGGCTGTTTAGCACTTAGTATAGCTAGAAAGACAAATTAAACAACATTTTCTATGAAAGCACAAATTGGAAATACACTGTGCAAGCCAGTTCAAAATCATTAGATACACATGAATGACATTAAAATATGGAAATATGACTTAAAGCAAAATACTTCTTTAAAAACTATATTATTGTGGTATCCAAATCTTTCATTTTATTTAAACTGTTTACTCCTCTTTTCTCACACACTTACAAAAATATCCTAAACAAAAATGTTTTTAAATTGTTTAGAATTACCATTCTTCAACTATTACATAAATATTCATGTAGGGAAAAGACAAAATCATGTAGAAAATTTGTAACTGCATCATATATATATATATATATATATATATATATATATACAATTTCATTATATAATTTTGATTTTTACCATTTTTCTTTTCACCAAAAATTTAATATACACTACATGTAATATAAATATATAATTAGAACAAAACTGTTTCTCTAAAGCAAAATGGTTAATGAACAAAAACAACATTGTTCCCAAGATTAATATGACTTGTGCTTAATATTGAAAATGCTAGTCAAATAGTATGCAATTATAATATCCAACTACATTCAACTTTGAGTACTGTAAAGAAAAACAATATGGAAAACATATTTTAAATTAATGGAAATGTCTCCATTTCTTAGAAGGAAGTGATACCTGACATCTATAAAATATTAGATGGTCTCCATTTACAGTTGGACAACCATAAAGGGTCAGGGGAAAAAAAAGGAGCCTACCTTCCATGGCCCTTTTAAAGAAGACCTTACAGCTCCCACAGGTGAGGACACCATAATGACATCCCGATGCTTCGTCCCCACAGATTAAGCAGATCTTCTGGGGTAATGACTCGAAGCTGTACTGTGGGCTCTGGCTGGCTTCGGCATCTGGCCTTGAAGCGCAAAACAAAGCACTCCAGTTATTTTTAGGTGCAACTTTATCGAATACCAAAGTTTTCTTAACCCCAGGATGGACAGCATGAAAGGGGATTTTAAGAAACAGAACTATCATGTACACCCTTAAAAGACATGCAAGTTAAATTTGCAAAGTAAACCCCTTATTTGATTCATCAGACTTACAGATGATTAGCCTTTCATCAGAAATACTAAGGCACAAGAACAACAGGTAACATACATTTTTTTGTTGTTGTTGTTGTTCAGGAAAGCTCAATAGTGCTTACCAGTGCTTTTAATTTGAGATTTAGAACTCAACCCTGTGTTGATTGTTTACTCAAACAAGCTTCTGTGTCATTTTAAGGTATTGTTCAACACATTATCACTGTTTTGACTATTCACAGCACTTGAGATTCTCTCTCTCTTTAAAATCCCATTCCCTCATATGTAAGTTACATTTTTTTTTTAACCTGTGTGAAAAAGTTGTAGTGAATCCAAACCAATATCAGAACACACCGCACTGCAGCGATGGATACTAAACTCCCTGATTTAAGCATCTTACACACATTAACTTTAATCTGGAGATTCCTCTGAATACCGAACGGTTCTGGCTGCTAGCCTCCATCAGGTGCCACTGTGCAAGGGGAAAGGTGCCCCGGGGACCGTCCTGAGGACCCTCTCCAACCCAAGAATGGCATTTCCAGGAAAAAGTCCTAAGAGGAGAACCCCATCACACACACACACACACACACACACCCACACACACACACATACACACACACACACCCCAACTCGGGGCACCCTTTCTTCCCCATGCGGCTCCCGCAGAGCCAGTGTGACGCTGCACATCTTACATCAGGGCTGGTGCTATTTGGAATTAAAAAAAAAAAATGTTTTCAGGAGGCACGCTCCCCAAATGGCCCCCCACCCCCACCCCCCCCAAAAAAAGTGAGCCAAGGAGGGAAGAGAAAGGAGGAAGCCCCTTTGCGGCGGCGCCCCGCCCCGGCCCCCCCAGCCTCCCGCGGCCACCGGGGGAGCGGTGCCCGGAGCGCGGGGCCGGGACGCGGGCCGCTCCCCCCCGGACCCGGGACCCGCGGGCGCCCCCCGGCGGGCCCTCACCTCAGGTAGTTGAGATAGGGCGGGTAGACGGGCGCCAGCCCCTCCTTGAGCACGGCGGCGGGGTAGCCGAGCGGCGGGATGCCGTTGATAGCCAGCGGCGGGTAGAGCGCGGGGCCCGCCCCGGCGGCGGCGGCGGCGGCGGCGGCGGCGGCGGGCGGCTTGCAGGGCTGCGGCGCGAACGGGCCGGGCAGCGGCGGCGCGGCCTCCGCCTTGTACAGCATGCACTCCAGCGCCGACCCCGACCCCGACGGGGACGCGGACGCCGAGGACGAGGCGGAGGCTCCGGCGGCTTCCCCGGGCCTGGAGGACGGCGCCCGCGGAGGAGGAGGCAGCGGCGGCGGCGCCAGCGGGAAATCCGGGAAGACGGCGGGGCCGGCGCCGGCCCCCAGGTAAGGGCGCGGGGAGCGCGCGGCGGCCTCGGCGCCCTCCTCCTCCTCCTTGATCTTCAGCGCGGGCGGCTGGAAGTCGCCGTAGAGCTCGGGCTCGGGCGGGTACGCGCAGTCGGGGAAGTCGCCCGCGGCGCCCGGCGGGGACGAGGCCGAGGGGGAGCCCCGCGGCGGGGCGAAGGCGCTGACCCCGCCGCCGTCCGAGCCGTCCGCCCCCTCCAGCAGCTGCCGGGTGCGCGCGGCCAGCAGGGCCGGGTTGATGGGCAGGATGGGCAAGTGGATGAAATCCATCACCATGGTGGTCACCGGGGGGCGCCCGGGCCCCGCCGGCAGCGGCGGCGGCTCTTGCTCCGCCAGAGCGACCCGGGGGGGCGCCGCCGAATAGCGGGGATCCTCCTTGGGGACCAGGGCGCCGCCTCCTTCGGCCGCCCCGGGCGCGCTGGCCCCGGGGGCGGCTCCTCCCTCGGCTCGGGGTTTGCCCTTCAGGAGCGCTGCCACCGCGCCCGGGGACCCGGAGCCCCCCTCCTCCACCTCCACCTCCAGCGCGGCGGGCTTCCCCGGGGCCCCGGGCCAGGGCTGGTGGCCGGAGGAGGAGGCCGGGGGCAGCAGCAGCTGCCGGTTCGGGGACAGCCCCCGGGGCAGCGCTCTGTAGGCGCCGTCGCCGCCCGCCTTGCTCTCCGGGCGGCTCATGAGCGCGGGCAGCGCGCCGGCCGGGGCGGCGGGCACCGCCGGGGGCCCCTCGGGGAGCTCGGGGCCAAACAGGCACCAGGGGCCGCCGGCCTCGTAGGCGGGAGGGCTGGCGTGGCTCTGCCCGGGGCCCGAGGGCGAGGGCGCCAGCAGCGTGTCCAGGACGCTGTCCAGCAGCCCGCTGTCCTTCTCGGGGGCTCTCCCGGCGCCTCCTGTGGCTCCGACTCTGGGGTACGCGCCCTCCGCGTGGGACAGCGCCTTGCCGTCGGGGTCGGGGTCGGGGTCGGGCCCCCGGCAGAGCCGAGGGAAGGGCAGCCCGCCCAGGCAGCCGGGCGCGGCGGCGGCGTCCGGGGTCTGGCCCGCGGCCGGGAAGGGGCCGGCGTCCGGGCGCCCCAGCAGCGCAGAGCCGGCCTGGCCGGGGGAGGGCGCGCCGCCCACCACGTGGGGAGCCCCGGACGCCTTTGCCTTCAGCTCTGTCATGCTGACCTGAGTCCACTTTTCTCCTCCCCTGACTCTAGGGAGGGAGGAGGGAGAGCGGAAGGAGGGGGGAGGGGGGTGCCCGAGGCTATAGGAGCAGCTGGAGGAGGAGAACTAGGTGTTGAGTTGGTTGGTGGGGGTGGGGATGGCCACCTCCTGGGTCAGCAGGGGGCGGCGCTGGTCAGCGACTGCCCTTGGCCTCCATGCAGCCGGCAGGGGAAGGGGACGGTGGTTCGGTTCCTGGGCGGGTGGCAGAGCAGGACAGGTCTGGCAGGGAGCTCCTGCGCCCACCGGGAGACTTCTCCAGGAGAGTTCTCCAAATGCAGTCTGAGGGCGGGAGGCGCAGAGTACTCACAAAGTCGCGGCTGCAGCTTCCAAAGCAATTGGATGCGGCTCTATCTCCCGACTTTTTCTCCAGCTTCAAACCGGTGCTTTGCCGCGTCGCTCCCCAATCCACGTTTCTTCTCGCCGACCCCCCTGAGGCTGCTGGGACCCCTCAGGTGCAGCCCGGGGTCCGGAAGAGCAGCCTTCCTGCGTGCTCCCTGTAGTTGGCGACAGAGCTCGCTTGCAGCTCACTTTCCTGGGCAGCCCCAGCAGCTCCTGAGGTTCGCAGATTCCACCCCAGTGCCCGGCGAAGCGTTGTCATTGAGGAGGCTGCACTCACACACACCGGATCCTCGCTCACCCTAATGGTACATACAAGGCTTACCTAGAGAGAGTTAGTGACAGCTCTGAGCTGGCCCCACAGCTTTCTAGTAACGGCTCCTCCCCTTCTGGAAGCCCCGCCCAAAGCCCCTCCCTCCCGCAGTTATGGATCCAATCTGAAATTCTGGACTTGGTCATTCCCAAACGCTAGTCTGAATTCCACTCTGAATAGCACAGGGGTCCTCAAACTTTTTAAAGTGGGGGCCAGATCACGGTCCCTCAGAGAGCTGGAGGGCCGGACTATATGAACTACTAATTCCTACTGTAACACCTAGGCTGCGCTCACTGCCCAAAAAACCTGGCGGGCCGCCAGTGGCACTTCCTCAGTGGATTAGATTTTGTACTACCAATTAAGAATTATGTCCAGTCTAACGGGGGGTAAACAAATGGATTCCATTCACAGCTGAATTTTCAGGATTTCAGTTTTATGACAATTTAACATAGAGGGAGATATTTGGCTATATTATCTTTTAGAATAAATGTATCAAGGGTAATGCTAAATAATATATGAGATTCTCCCTCTCTCTTATGACTTCCATAAAAGTGAGTACTTCCCAAGTTCTCTTACCACAGTCAACGTGTCCTGCTCCTCTTGGACAATGTGGCAGAGGTCTGGGGGTGGAAGAAGGCTGACAGCACCTCTCTACCTACAAGGAAAGTTTGGGTATTGTTTGTCATTAATTTGTTCTGAGGAATTCATTCCAGTTTTTAATAAGTAGCACTTTAAGGGAAGTTTCCTTTCCAGTGTTTCCCAAAGTGTGGTATGCGTACCCCCAAGGGTACGGGAAGAGTTTGGTGGGGGTACGCATTGCACTGGAGTTTGGTGGGGATATGCACTGCACCGTGCTTAGCTGCGCCTAATTCTACATTCTCATGAGTACGAAGGGTACTCAGCATTACGAAAATTATTTAAGGGGTACACATATGTCAAAAGTTTGGGAAACACTGGGATGGGCAAAAGTGGGTTTACAATTGTGAGCATGGGAAAAACAGTTTATTCTTGTACCATTATTTATTAATTATTGTGTTACTAGTGGCCAAGTGCACGGATTTGTGCACAATGAAAGGAAATTAATTAGAAGAAATATTTTAATATCCCTAGTCAACCTTTCTCTATAATAGAAATGTCAACAAAATCAACCAAATTCACGATTGACAGTGACAGATTAAAACACAAGCCTGTGATTGGCACCAGGGAGAGCTTTATATGTATCATGCATGCATTTATTTTATGTTTTAAAATATATTTTATTGATTTTTACAGAGAGGAAGGGAGAGGGACAGAGAGTTAGAAACATCGATGAGAGAAAAACATCAATCAGCTGCCTCCTGCACATGCCCCACTGGGGATGTGCCCGCAACCAAGGTACATGCCCTTGACCAGAATCTGGGACCCTTCAGTCCGCAGGCTGATGCTCTATCCACTGAGCCAAACCGATTAGGGCAACGTTTACTTTTTAATTGTCAGTGAGCATCATATGTACCTGCCAGTTGGTCAGGCAATTGGATGGACGGATGGTCAGTCAATTAGCCTCTTACATATATAGATTTTCCATACAAACAACTGTAAACCTACTTTTATCCACCCCTGTGTCCTGGTGCTAAATTATAAGTTTCTTAAAAGAGATGCTGAACAGTATTTTCTCTCTTCAACATTGTTATTCTTGAAAAGAATTATCTTTGAGTTTTCATAGCACATTGTAATTTATAAAGATGTAGAGGGGGGGGAGATTACTGCAATATATTTGAGATACAGAGTTAAACTAACAGTCTCTGTACTATACTTAAGACCATTGAGTATCTTGACATCATATGAAATATACCATGTTCAAAACTGAGTACATCATTTGGAAAGTTCCTCAAGGTCCTCTCTCTGCCGATGCCCCACAGGTTCTCTGGGCCAGGTGTACAGAGCACAGAGGAAGACACAGAGACTCCAGGATGGGCAAAGCCCATTGAGGTAAAGAGCCTGGATCCTGGAATCACCTGAGGAGTGTCTATATGAGTGAGAAATATACCGCCTATATGATGTTAGGTGACTGGATTTTGGAATTGATTCCAGCAATTACAATAGCTTACTCTGACTAATTTTAGATATAAAGTGTAGAGGGCCGCCTGAGAAGCACATGGACATTCTTTAAATTGTTAGCTGAGCTTGAGGCACTGGCAGAATACCTCTGTCCAGGTGTCAGCAGGGGCAGGTCTAGATATGTAAATCCAGTAATGCTGGAGCCTAGTTAAGAATGAAAATAGGCTCCTTTGACCCTAAAAATAAACCTGCTGCGTGGCTTGGGGGGTCGCCTTGCTGCCTCTCCATCAGAGAGATGGCGCCCACCTAGCGCCCAGCTGGATGAATTTATTTCTGCCTCTTGTCTCTTTCTTTCTCTCATTTCTTTCTTTTATATATATATATATATTTTATTGATTTTGTACAGAGAGGAAGGGCGAGATATAGAGAGTTAGAAACATCCATGAGAGAGAGTCATCGATCAGCTGCCTCTTGCATACCCCCTACTGGGGATATGCCCGCAATCAAGGTACATGCCCTTGACCAGAATCGAACCCTGGTCCCTTCAGTCCCCAAGCCGACGCTCTATCCATTGAGCCAAACCGGTTTCGGCTCTTTCTCTCATTTCTTAATCCCCAGCTCCTCCATTCAGGAACCTGTCGTTTTCCGTGATGGACACGGAAAACAGAGAAACATCTCCCCGCAATAAAGAATTAGGCACATAGAGGAGGGGTGAAGAGAATTCCAAGAAGCAGATATAATATGTTCACAGGACCTCAAATAGGAAGATATGAACTGCAATGAGGCCATTATTGATAGGGGATGAGGCTAGAGAGGTGAACGAGTTTATTATTATTAACTAGCAGCCCTGTGCACTCATAGCTCACTGCCCCACCCTCCTAATGAGCAGTTGTTACTGTCATGGTGTAGTGACCATTTGCATGTTATCTCTTTATTACCATATATAGGATGCTGTTGTTGCTGTTTTTAGGCTTTCATCTTTCCAATCCATTCAAGATGCTTTAATGAATATAATCCACATACCAAATAGCTCACTCGCTTTAAAATGGAATCAAACCCAGGACCCTTTAATCCGCAGGCCCAAGCTCTATCCACTGAACAAAACCAGCTAGGGCTATTTTATTTTTTTAAATTATTCTTAAAAATAATTTTTTATTGATTTCAGAGAAGAAGGCAGAGGGAGAGAGAGAGAGTAAGAAACAATCAATGATGAGAGAATCATTGATTGGCTGTCTCCTACATGCCCTACAGTAGGGATTGTATCTGCAACTGGGCATGTGCCCTAACCAGGAATCAAACAGTGACCACCTGTTCATTGGTCGATGCTCAACCACTGAGGCCCGCCATCTGGGCTATTTTATTTTTAAAAATACATTTTTATTGATTTCAGAGAGGAAAGAAGAGGGAAAGAGAATTAGAAACATCAATGATGAGAGAGAATCATAGATCAGCTGTCTCCTGCATGCCCCACACTGGGGATCAAGCCCACAACCCAGGCATATATGCTGACCTGGAATCAAACCAGTGACCTCTTGGTGCATGGGATGATGCTCAAGCAACTGAGCCATACTAGCCAGGGCATTTTTTTTTTTTAAATTTTCTTGGATTATAAGATACTCTGAACACATCTTGTGTATTTCCTGCCTTAGTTGAAGAATCACCCATTTATTGGAAAACAGTATATGTGAAGATCTGGGTGCTAAATTTATTTACATTCATTTTTATTTCTTAGAATTTTATATAATACAGCATATGCTTTTTTATCTAGTTTATTTCACTCATCATAATTATTTTAAGATTTATCTATGTTGTAGTATGTGTCATTCATTTGTTCTTTTTATTGCTGAGTAGTAATAGTAATATATTGTATGGATATACCACTCTTTATCCATTTACCTATTGATGAACATTTGGATTGTTTCTAGTTTCTTGATATTATAAATAAAGCTACTATCACATGTGTGCACAAGTTTTGTATCAACATATGTTTTAGTTTCTCCTGGGTAAATACCTACAAATGAAATGCCTGGAAAATTAGTAGAAGTATATTTAATTATTAAGCAATTTTCCAAAGTGGTTGTATCACCTTACATTCTCACCAAGTAGTTTATTTCAGTTCTAATTCTCCCATATTTTGTATAAAATTTGTATGATCAGTATTTTTAATTTTAGCAATTTTAATGTGTATGTAGTGGTATCTCATTGTGGTTTTAATTGCATTTCCCTAGTGACTGACACTGATTATCTTTTCATGTGCGTATTTGCTCTCTCCCTATCTTTGGAATGTTTGATTTTTTTAAATTGAATTTTTATTTCCTTATTATTGAATTTGTAAAGTTCATTATGAATTCTGAAGCAAGACCATTGTCACATATGTGATATTTTTTTCATAGTCCATGCCTTAACTTTACATTCTCAACATTGTCCTTTGAAGAGCAGATGTTTTAATATTGATAGTCTAATCTATCAATTTATACTTTTATGAATTGTGATTTTGGTGTCATAATTAAAAGTCTTTGCCAAATCCAAGGTCACAAAAGTTTTCTACTGTTTTCCTCTGGTTTTATAATTTTAGGTTTTACATTTATATGTGTGTGTGTGTGTGTGTGTGTGTGTGTGTGTGTGTTCTATATAATGGAAGCCTATAATGCAAATTGACCAAACAGTGGAAAGACCGGAGGGCAGGGCTGGTGAGTGGGCAATGCCACACCAGCCAAGGGGTGTGCCAGTAGGAAGAGGGAAGGGACAGTAATGGGGGATGGCAACTGGTAGTGGGGGTAGGGCAATGGGGGGGAGCCAGCTGCTCAATGGCTGGCACCATCCCCCTATCAGCCCACCACTAAGGATGTCTGACTGATGGCTTAGGCCAGCTCCCCTCTAAGCCATCAGATAGACATCCCCTGAGGGATCCTGGACTGCCAGAGGGCACAGGCTGGGCTGAGATACCCTCCCCACCACTGAGTCCACAAATTTTTGTGCACGGAACCTCGTGTGTATGTGTGTGTGTGTGTGTGTGTGTGTGTGTGTGTGTGTGTGTATGAATGATATATACGAATCATGTTAAATTACTTTTGTTGATGTTGTTAATCCTCACCTGAGGATATTTTCCCTTTAACTTTTAGAGAGAGTGGAAGGGAGGGGAAGAGGCAGAGAGAGAGAAACATCAATATGACAGAGACACATTGATTGATTACCTCCCCCATCCAGGGCCCCAGCCTGCAACCGAGGTATGTGACCTTGATCAGAATGGAAGCCAGGACCCTTCAGTTCAAGGGCCCATGCTCTATCCACTAAGCCAGACTGACTAGGGCTAAGTTATTTTTAAATATAGTGTGAGGGTTAAGTCAAAGTTCTCTTATTGCCTATGGATATCAACTTGTTCTGGCACCATTTGCTGAAAAGAATACCCTTCTTCCATTTAATTGCTTTGTATCTTTGTTGAAAATCAGTTATTTATATATGTGGGTGTTTTTCTAGACTTTGCATTTTGTCTTATTGTCTATTTGACTATATTTATGTATAATTGCTATAGCTGTGTAGGTCTTGGATACTTGAACAGTGTTACTGTTCAACCTATTCTTCTTTCTCAAAGTTGCTTTGTTTATTCTAGGTCCTTTGCATTTCCACATGAATTTTAGAATGCTGCAATATGGATTGGGATTGAATTGAAATAGATTGATTTGAAGAGGAATTGATGTCTTATCAACAGTAAGTTTTCCATCTTCCCATGAAGATGATATACTAGTATATCTCCATTTCTTTAGGCTTATTTTTTTTCTTAGCAATAGTTTGAACCTTTCACACTATAGGTCTTTTATATCTTTTGTCAGATATATCTCCAATTATTTCGTATTTTTGATGCTATTATAAATGGTGTCTAGATTAGTTTTCTATTGCTGAGAAATATAATAATATCACAAACGCTTAATGGCTTAAATATCACACAGCGATTACCTCACAGTTTACATGGGTCCAGGCGGGTCTAGAAATGGGTTAGTTGGATCCAATGCTCAGGTCTCACGTGATGGCAGTCACGGGGTCAGCCAAGGCTGCACTCCCCTCTGAGGCTCAGGGTGCTTCTCCAGTTCATTCCGGTGGGCTGCAGATTGCAGGTCTTTGCAGCTTTTGAACTCCTGCTTGCTTCCATCTTCTTTGAGGCCAGTGAGAGAAATGTATTCATGCTTTTTGAAGGTTTCATTTGATTAAGTCAAACCCAACCAGATAGGCTCCATTTTGATGAATTCAAAATAAACTGATTTGGGAGATCTTAATTACTTCTGCAAATTTACTTTTGCCCTAGGTGTGACTTAATCATGGACTGAAATCCATCATTTTGATAATGTCCTTCGCATTCCAGGGGAGGAAATGGTATGTCATGTACACTATTAGGAGGGAATTTTGGAGACTGTTTTATAGTTGGGTTCATGTACATTTCTAGTGCTAAGAAATACAATTGATTTTTTAATTGGAGAGATGAAGGTGGACATGACCGGTAGTTTCCTGATTTAATGGAGAGGGTGGGTGGAGGGAAACCATTCAGTCTTTTATTATTAGGTATGATTTCCATTTTGTCTTATTGTCTATTTGACTGCCGTTACGTATAACTCTTTTCGTAGATTCCTGCAATTTTTTTTTTATAGATTCTCTTATCGGATTGCAGAAATACCATTCAGTTTTTAGTTTGTTGAACAGTTGATTAGGAATAGATGCAGTTTTTTTGTCAAATGATCTTTGTGGAGCTTTTTCTCTTTTAGTTTGTTAATATGGTGAATTATATTAATTGAGTTTGAATGTTAAATTAACCTTGTATTTATTATCCTCTATTCCTGAGATAAACCCTATTAAGTTAAGATGTAAGCATATGTGTGTGTGTGTGTGTGTATTTTTTATTATTATTTTTTTACTTATTAAAAACATGTTTACAATCTTAAAATCTTCCTTCATGAAGACTATTGGATATTGGTCTGTTCTCTTTTCTTATAATGACTGTCAGATTTTTGTATAATAAATTCCAACAAATTAATTGCATACTTTTATATTAATAGAATAAAATAAAAATTAAATTTAAGGTCTCCACAAATACAAGTATTCTGGCATATGCTGTTCTTTGGTTTTATGTGTCCACTATGGCAGTGGGTATAGTTTGCAAAGAAGGCTTCCTCAAACTTGAAAAGATGATTGATTTTTGTCAAGTCTACTCTAGTTTTTGTATCGAATGAAAGGATCATTCACTCATGTTACAAATAACTGCTTACAGTATGTCGTTACACAGTTTGCTCTGTATGTTACTTTATAATATATATACATTTTTACACTGTAACATTCAATGCTAATAAAATTTCATGATATAAGTATTATTATCTCAATTTTGCAAATGAGAAAATTGAAACCTAAAATTTTAGACCTAGTAATTAGTAGAGCCAGAAATCACTACTAGGGCTTCTGATTTCAAATCTAGTGCTGTTTCCACTTTACTCGTTGTGTTTCTGTTTTATACAGTCAAGGTGTTGGGTAGTTGACAAGGTACATGGAATAGTGTAGAAACATTTACTTGATCTGAGGCCACAGAAATATGTGCACATTCAGAAAGGCATGTTGGGTCACACAGACTGGTGATTTGGTTAGGTTTGGAATTTTTATTGTTTATACAACTTTGAGAATGAGAGTTCTTCTGTATTTACAAAGAGATGATTGTAGTTGAAAGTTGGCACTTGATGTGAGTACATTAAGGTTACTTCTCTGACTTACCTACTTGACACACTCCCTGGATTAGTAATCCAGTGCCTCAAACAGCTCTTGGCTTATTCAGGTTCCTTCAAAATGTACTGACCACCCACAAATGTAAATTTTTTATTTCTATGTCAGGTAGGATATATTTTGGCTCTAAGTGACAGGGTACTCAACAAAAAATGATTTATATTGCAGACATTTATATTACAGACATCTCACATGACAAGAAATTTGGAGGAAAGTAGTTCTTGGGTTGGTTAATGAGTTGCTCAATAATATACTCAAGGTCCCAAACCCTCCAACTTTCCAGCCAGCTAGTGTCAGAGGCGTGGTTTTTTTTCTTTCTTTTTTGTTCTCTAGTGCCCAAAGATGGGTATGGAAGCTACAGGCATCAAAGTCTCACAGAAATGCATCCAAAATTAGGCATAAGGAGAGTTTTCCTAGAATGTTTTGTCTTCTCTTTTTTAATAAATCAATGAAGAAAACCTTATCCAGAAGGTGACCCCGCAGATATCCTATCAAGATATTGTCTAGAACTGGGTCATCTGCCTACCACTAAACCGGAGAAGTTGATGTGAGTAATTGTGATTCATCTTCTACTGCTGAGTTTATAGCTCTGCGTACTTTGCTACCAATATGTGAACAAAATTGGGGTTCTGTTTAAAAGGAATGGAAGTAGGGATACAGCTAATGGGAATTACAAGAAGCAATATCTGATTTTATGCCAAAGTCTAATTTCCCACAGAATCCTAAATGACTTCTGATTTAAACGGAGAAAGAAATTTACTCTAATATTTGAATGAATTTAATAGCCCTCATGTAATAAAGCAAGTCATAATCATTTTGTTGATGGAGGGTCTTCCCTTCAATTTGTAAGAAACACAACACCTGGGTGGGGCCCCTGGCACTGAGTTACTGCAAGAATGAGTTGGGAAGCCTCTCCAATGGCATGTGGGCACATTCCATGACAGTTCAGGACTACCAGGACCTGATATACCGATGATGGCAAAGAAGTGGGAGATATGTGTATAAGTCTGTGATGGATCAAACCTATTGTCCTCAGTGCATGATAAGGTGCCGATCTGTACAGTTCCAGCCATCAAAGTCTCACAAGAAGATTTTTAAAAAATGTTGACATTTCTGGCTAAAGGGGAAATTTCCAAAGGAAAATTTGAGGATGAGCCTATGGAGCCCACAATGGAAGATGCTGCCCCCAGTGACATGGCATTAATAAATAAATTGGGTATACAGTGTGACCTCAGAGAGCTCAGTGATAACCTCAAAGAGAGATTAGAGAGGGAAGCAAAGAAGGAAGGAAAAAGTGCAAAGGAAGAGGAATCTAACAAATTTATTCAGTCACAAGACAAAAAAAGAGGAGTTGGACTCTGGGGAACTGTCCTACGCAGTGCACAAGGAAGGGCACACGGTTCCTCAGCCAGGCAAAAGGGTAGATTTGAATAAGCCTCCATGTGGAAAAGCAAAGGAAATCCAGAAGGAAAGGAAGAGGTTAAAGCTCATGCAGCAGAGCCTGGCGGGAGCCAAAGGCCAAATCCAACCAGCCCAAATTGCTGGAATAGTTCATCTTTGAACTTTACCAGAGGACGCATCACATGAGTTAGAGCTGAGGGTGGTGAGATCATCTCCACCAAGTTCTCAGCTCAAAGTCACAATGCTGGAGTCGTTCCAGGTATATACACATTACCAGGTATATAAACATTCACAGCCACTTACCTGAGGAGCCCATGCTCAGCCAGTTCACAGGATTCCTTTTCACCTCACCTTTGGAGCCAGAGAATCCCCCGAAAGGACCAGATTGTGGGCTATGGCTTATTTTACCAGCAGTACTGGCTGGACCAAAAGATCATCGCTGTGGGGGTGATTGACATCCTTCCATACTGTGTGTCCTCTGTATTTGTATGATGATCCTGATTATTCATTTCTGTCCTTGGGTGTCTACCATGTACTATGAGCAATTGCTTTCACTAGACAACTTCATGAAAACACATTTCAACTCAGCTATTATTATATGGGTTTCTACATTCATCTGTGTCCCAGGATGACATATAAGGGTCATCATAGATCTTCTGACTGGCTGTGTCCTGAGACTTACATTTGGGTGCCCATCCAGCAGTGTCTGCCTTCCCTTGAGAACTCCAAGTACTGTGGTTTCAATCAGGACCCCAAAGCAGGGATGAAGGTCACAGCAGGGACCCTGATCGGCTGCAGGTGTTGTACAAGAAAGTCATAATGCCTTATGGTGCTTTTAAGGAGCAGCATTGGGAAGGGGGCGAGGGGGCTGCCAAACTGCAGTGTGCCAACCTCAGGGGCAAGGCATGTTCCCAGCAGATGCTGCTCTTCAGAAATCCCTGCCTGCCTGCAAATCTTTCTTCTTTGGCTATATGGCTTTTCTAAACTATTTTGTGCCAAATGTAAAGATTTAAAAATATGTTATGACTTAGCTCCATAATTGGGGGTTTATCACTTCAGAAGTTTGTTTTTGTTTGTTTGTTTGTTTATGCACTGGGGTGGGGGTGGGGGTCCCTGGGAGCCCTCTGAGGATGTCTGACTGATGGCTTAGGGCCATTCCCCATGGGAAGCTTGCCTAAGCCGTCAGTCAGACATTCTTAGTGCTGCCGTGGAAACAGGAGAGGCTCCCGCCACTGCAGCTGTGCTTGCCAGCTGTGAGCCCAGCTTCTGGCTGAGCAGTGCTCCCCCTGTGGGAGAGCACTGACTATCAGGGGGCAGCTCCTGCATAGAGCATCTGCCCCCTGGAGGTCAATGTGCATCATAGTGACTGGTCGTTCTGCTGTTAGGTTGATTTGCATATTAGCCTTTTATTATATAGGATTACAGATCTCTCCCATTTCCCCACTTTGCCCACCACCCAGCTCCCACTCTATCCAAGTCCTTCACCATGCTATTGACTCCATGGGCTGTGCATATCTATACTATATTTATATATATATATATATATATATATATATATATATATATATATATAGTGCATAGACAAATTCTCCATATGTATATATATGGCTAAAAGTCTAAGTAACAGTCTTACTGGCTGGTAGGTATGACACGCATTGACCTCCAGGAGGCAGACGCTCAATGCAGGAGCTTCCGAGCTTCAGTAACTTGGCAGCATAGGTTCTCGGGTGATGCACTCTGAACCAGAGAGGAGGGAGCCGGATTCCTCATGTGGCCACATGATTCAACCTTCGGCGGCCATGGGTTATGTTGTTGCTGGGGCACTGTTGGCCCCGAATCTGGTCTACTGGACACTTGCGTTTATGTTCCAAACTCTGTATGACAGCCACTTTGCAGAATGCCCTCTCACACTCCGGGACCCCTCAGAGGATGTCTGAGAGCTGGTTTTGGCCCAATCCCCACCTGCTGGAGGGACCTGCTCACTCTACAGATGCCTTTCAAGCCACGGCACCGCCCCAAGTGGAGCCGCCGGGAGGGACTGCTGGAGGTTGGCTCCGGGGCGTGTCTGACCCGTCTCACCCAGTCCTGCGCCATTGGCCACCTTCTAATTGATTTTCTTTCAATGTGCATGGGTTACCAGGTCACTAGTATTGGTATAAGTTCTTTGGTTAATCTCTTCATGTCCCCCTTCCCTCTGAGATTCCTCAGTCTGTTCAATACTTCTGTGTCTCTGGATCTATTTATTTTGTTCATCAGTTTATTTTTTTCATTAGATTCCACGTAAGAGGGAGATCATGTGATATTTGTCATTCTTTGGCAGGCTTATTTCACTTAACATACTGAACATGCTATCTCAAAGGGTAGGAGCTCCTTGTGTTTTTTTTTTTGTTTGTTTGTTTGTTTTTTGGTCTTGTTTGTTTTTTTACAGCTGTATAGTATTCCATTGTGTAAATATACCACATCTTTTTTTATCCATCCATCTATTTGGGCTGTTTCCAGATCCTAGCTATTGTATATATTATCATATATAATAAAAGCATAGAATGTAAATTGTCCCCTCGATTGGGATGTGTCTGGGAATTCATTGGGGGTGGGGGGGTGGCTGAGGGAAGGGAGAGAGGCCCTAGCTGGCAGCCATCAGTTTGCAGCCACTAGGGACCCTACCAGTGCACAAATTTCATGCATTGGGCTTCTGGTTGTAATGTTGCTATGAACATAGGGGTACTAGAATTTAGTTAATGAATTAATTAATTAACTAATTAGCTATTCTTTATTTTTTTAAGGTATTACATATGTCTCCTTTGTCTTCCATCGACCCCTTCCCTAGTCACTCCCACCCCCTAGGACATGCCTCCGCTACCCCATTGTTTGGTCCATTGATTATGCTTATATGCATGCATACAAGTCCTTTGGTTGATCTTTAATTTCCCTCCCCCTTCCCTCTGAGGTTGCACAGTCCGTTTGATGCTTCTCTGTCTCTGGATCTATTTTTGTTCATCAGTTTATGTTGTTCATTATATTCCATAAATGAGTGAGATCATGTGATATTTATTTTTCTCCCACTGGCTTATTTCACTTAGCATAATGCTTTTCTTGTTTATCCATGCAGTTGCAAATAGTAAGAATAACTTCTTTTTTATAGCAGGGTAGTATTTCATTGTATAGTTGTACCACTGTTTTTTAATCCACTCATATGCTGATGGTCACTTAAGCTGTTTCCAAATCTTAGCTATTGTAAATTATGCTGCTATGAACTTAAGGGTGCACATATCCTTTCTGATTCTTTTTCTGTTTTCTTGGGATATATTCCTAGAAATGGGATTACTGGGTCAAATGGGAGTTCTGTTTTTAATTTAAAAAATATATATTTTATTGATTTTTTTACAGAGAGGAAGGGAGAGGGATACAGAGCTAGAAACATTGATGAGAGAGAAACATTGACCAGTTGCCTCCTGCACACCCCCAACTGGGGATGTGCCTGCAACCAATGTACATGCCCTTGACCGAAATCGAACCTGGTGAAGCTCTATCAACTGAGCCAAACCGGTTTTGGCTCCATTTTTAATTTTTTTAAGGAAACTCCATAGTGTTTTCCACAGTGGCTGCACCAGTCTGCATTCCCACTAGCAGTGTATGAGGGTTACTGAGAACCCAGAAATTGACCCAAGCATATGTTAAATTAATATTTGACAAAAGAGGCAACAGTATACAATGTAGTCAAGACAGTCTCTTCAAAAATGGTGATGGGAAAATTGTTCAGATACATAAACCTAGACCACCAACTTACACCACACACACACACACGTCTCAAAATGGATAAAGGACTTAAACAAACATAAACAGGAAACCATAAATATCTTAGAAGAATCCACAGGCAGCAAAATATCAGACATATGTCATAGCACTATCTTTACTGATACAGCTCTTAGCGCAATAGAAACTAAGGAGAAAATAAACAAATGGGACTACATCAAAACAAAAAGCTTCTGCACAGCAAAAGAAACCATCAACAAAACAACAAGAAAGCCTACTGCATGAACGAACATATTTGCCAGTGTTATATAGGATAAGGGTTTAATCTCCAGAATTTACAGAGAACTCCTACAACTTAAAAAAGGAAAATAAACAATCCAATAAAAAAAATGGGCAAAGGACCTAAATAGACACTTTTTGAAAGAGGACATACAGGAAGCCAAGAGACATATGAAAACATGCTCAAAGTCACTAATCATCTGAGAGATGCAAATCAAAACACAATGAGCTACCATCTCACACCTGTCTGAATGGCTATCATCACCAAATCAACCAACGACAAGTGCTGGCAAGGTTGTGGAAGTTTGTTTTATGAACAAGACTTGGTAAACTTGTCTTAATGTTAATATTTTAGAAAGTAAAATCAATACATGAATCATAAATAAAGTTACAGCTATGCTTTTTCTTTCTGTAAGAAATCAAGGCAGACTCTTTCCTTAGATCCATTTAAAACATTTGTTTATGCTAAAAAAAGAACATACAAAAACCCGTAAGTGGGGAGAGTGTGTTTCTTTGCTTCGAAAGCATCTCAGGAGAACTAGTTTCCAGTGTTCAATCACTTCACTGCTAAGGTCACATTATGTGTTAATAAGGCGCTCAAGAAGGCAGGTGGAAGCATTTAACAGACAAGCATTGTCTGGACATTGGGTGTGTACACCCCGCGTGGTCCTGCTCAGATCTGCTGTCTGGCATGATTTCTTCCTGGAAAAATTACTAGTACTCTCTTTTACTTTCATAGCATCCCAGTTTGGACAGTAAAATACATGTTTGCCCTAGTTATATAATTTGCTCTATTTCTGAAAATCTAAGAAAAGGAGTTTCTAAAGAAGAATGTTGGTTCCTGTCTTCACTATCTGTTCGTTCCTTAGAACTGAGGACACTCGTCTTTGGTTTTTGATTAACAATTAGTTCATATCCGACTTTTTTTTTTTTTTTAATCCTCACCCAAGGATATTTTCCCATTGATTTTCAGAGAGCATGGGAGAAGGAAAGACAGAGAGAAACATTGATGCGAGAGAAACATATTGATTGGTTGCTTCCTATACATGCCCCCACCAGGCCAGGCTGTGGAAGAGCCTGCAACCTAGGCTTGTGCCCCTGACCTTAATGGGACCCGGGATCCTTCAGTCCACAGGCTGATGCTCTATATTCGCTGAGCCAAACCAGCCAGGGCATATCCAGCTGCTTTCATAGTAATGTCAACTCAAAGTATTGTATTTCTTATAGACCTTGAAGCATTTTTCAACTTGATGCACTAATTATTGGGGCTGTACCCCTTATTCTTTGGGTCTACAGTTTAGTATCAAGTCCTCCACAGAGCTTATACATAGGGGCATTTTTGTATCCTTGGAGCTATATACACTTAAATAGATGGCCAACATTAAAATTTTGAAATATTTAAATTTTCACTTTATAGTCTAGCTTTCTCTCTTTAATGTAATGATTTTTAGGAAATTTTTCATATATATATATATATATATATATATATATATATATATATGATGTTATAGGATAAGTAATGATTGGCAAATATAAGTACTAAATATTGTTGTGTCACAGTTAATCTATAGTTGATACTGTTTAATATGAATATGCATTCATACTTATTTAAAATGAATATTCATTAATGTTATTCTATTAAGGAGAAAGCTACTATGATATTGGGAAGAAGCATGAAGATCAAGAACCAGAAGGTAATTCTTTTACCACATTCTGAAATCAGATCTTTTGGAGCACGGATAAAAAATACCAGCTATTTATCTTAAAGTTTTATAATGTAAACTTAAAGTTTATCTCTCTTCGAAGGGGTAAAGGAATATGATGCTGTTCTGGCTAATTTTGATAAAATGTGCAACAATAAATGTTACAAATGTATAAAATAGGTATATCTTTTATTGATTAATCACCAGAAATAATACTTTCCTCATGAGGTTTATAAGAAAATCAATAGTAATTTACCGTATTTTTCGGACCATAAGACACACTTTTTTCCCCCCAGAAGTGGGGGGAAAAAGTCCCTGCATCTTATGGTCCAAATATAGCCTACACATATACTTTAAAAAAAAAGTTTTTTTACTTGCCCGGCTCTGGGTGGTCTCTGTGTGTTTGCCCAGCTCTAAAATGGTTCTAAATGCTGCTGTTTACAGGGTTGATTACATGTGTTTATGACTGTGATGTTGGGTTTTAATGCACATAAAATGTTTTAGGACACTATTTGTTTCAGAATCTTTTTTTCTTCATTTCCCTTCTCTAAAAACTGGTGCGTCTTATGGTCCGGTGCATCTTATGGTCCGAAAAATACGGTATATAGTTGAGGTTAAAATAAGCAACTATGATAATTTTAAATTTAAAACTATACTACATAAGACATAAAGGAAGGCTTTCTCTATTAGTTTTGTAGTTATTCTCCATTTAAGTATTATTAATATTTAGAAAGATATTGGAATGGAATCTCCATCCCCCCAAAAGAGTATAAAATATAACCTATATAACTTGCAAAATATCTATAATAATAAAAGCATAATATGTTAATTAGACCAGACAGCAGAACGACCTTCCAGACCTCATTGTGGATATCCTTCTGGACGAAGCCACCACAGCAGGGGCTGAGGCAGAGGTGGTTAGGGGTAATCAGGCAGGCAGGCATAGTGGTTAGGGGTGATCAGGCTGGCAGGCAGAGAGGTTAGAGGCAATCAAGCAGGCAGGCAGGTAAGTGGTTAGGGGCAATCAGGCAGTCAGGAGAGCAGTTAGGGGCATCACACAGGAAGGCAGAATGGTTAGGGGTGATTAGGCAAGCAGAGAGTGGTTAGGGGCAATCAGGCAGGCAGGCAGGTGAGCGGTTAGGAGCCAGCAGTCCGGATTGGGGGAGGAATGTCTGCCAGTTTGTTCCATTATTTTCTTTTCATTATTGTTATTCATTTAAAATACAGTTGTAAAAAAAAAAAAAAATACAGCCGAAACTGGTTTGGCTCAGTGGATAGAGCATCGGCCTGTGGACTGAAAGGTCCCAGGTTCGATTCCAGTCAAGGGCATGTACCTTGGTTGCGGGCACATCCCCGGTGGAGAGTGTGCAAGAGGCAGTTGGTCGATGTTTCTCTCATCAACATTTCTAGCTCTATATCCCTCTCCTCCTCTCTGTAAAAAATCTATAAAATATATATTTTTTAAAATACAGTTGTATACATTGATTTCAGTTTGCTATCAGTTTTAGTTTCAATTTTTTGTTCTCTATTCTTTGATAATTTATTTTTATTTTTAAAATGTATAGAACATTAATATGCTTCTGGAAGTCATACCTACAAAAAAATTATCCTTACGCAGAGAAATGCCATACCCACCTCTGTTCCTTTCATCTTCATCCCACTTCATATAGGAAATCAATTTGTTGTTTTCCAGTTTATCCTTCTTGTATTTTTTGGAAGCATTAACAGATAGGTTTGCTTTCTAAATTTCTCCTTACTTACCATAAAAAAAGGTAGCAATCTTCACTTAATAATATATCCAGGAAATCACTTAATGTATGTTCATAGAGTTCTTTCTTATTAATATTTACAGTTGCATAGTATCCACTATGCAACATACACTATAGTTTATTTAACAATATCCTATTGTTATTCTGGCTTTCTTAAGAGTTTTTAATTGAGAATGAGTCTGAATTTTGTCAAAAGCTTTTTAGCATCTAGTTTTCTTCAAATTTAGTCTTGATTTCTGAAAGTTTTTGGACTTTTTCTTTTATTCCCTGAGTTTTTCAAGTTCTTAATTCATCAATTCATCTTCCATCACATGATCACCTACTGTTTTCTGGCCATTTCTTCCCTGAGTTTTTTTTTTTCTTCTTCTTTTTTTTTTTTCCCCTCTGCTTTGTGATCTTCCTTCTGAATAGTAATTACTTCATTATATCTCCAAGAAATTTTGGCCTAAACAATTTTCATCTGATTGATATCAATATTCTGGCGATTTTTTTTTTCCTATAGGGATGTTTTGCTGTTCTTTCCCCACTTTAGAACAGGTTGTTGCGTGAATGTGGTGTGTATACCTTTTCTGCTTCTCGTGTTTGATAAGTTGCATATGTTATGAGCTGTCTTTTCACAAAACGCTCATGTTGGAGAAAGAGGAAGACTAGGGTAATCTGGGACTTCTACAGCTCAGAGGCTCCCAGTTCGTGTTTTCCTGACACCATCAGGTCTCCGCTGCTTCTTGAACTTGACCTGTTCAGGGAAGTTTCTATTGCTATAGCTAAACTTCTACAGGTTCTACTCTACCCTTGCCACCATGAGTTCTCCTCTGCCCTTGCCATAGGCCTTTTGGGGGATCCTTCCTAAATGTCGAAAACGTATGTTTGATGATTCATCTCTCTGGATAACTTCAGAGCCTTTGCTCCTCAGCCCTGCTCATGGCAGTTCCCATTCTGAGCGGGTCTTCAGCGTTTGTGTATGTGCTGATGACTTTTGAGAGATGCTATTTATTTTTCTACTGCTCTCCTTACTCTTCCCTGACATTTAAACCCCATCACAGTTTGCTGCTCGGTTCTGCTCCCAGTTCTGTGTAGAGAAGCATTCATACACAAAATTTATAGTTTGGAGGTGTTTTTTTGACTTCTGCCTTTGCTGAAGGTTGAATTTGCATTTCTCTCATTGTCCTTGATTACTTATGGCCTTCTGGAGGAGTGGAATGATTCATCACTGAGCTGCCACCAAGGTCTTACTGGAAATTAAAACTCATTTTACAATGTTTCCTGCGTTTTACTTATCATATCACTCTAGTCCAGTTATTTCAATTCTTTGTTGCCTCATTTCCAAAGTGGATTAGACAATATCTAGTAAGTTTCATGTAGGGATACATTGACATACTGAAGTTGGTCTGATATCTGATATGTGATGTGTTCATTATATTGTAATTTTGATGATGATGATGATGATGACGATGATAAGATCCTGGAAGTCTGAATCTATGGTTACTTACTGATAGAGGAGTGGAGCGCCCGGTTTGAATTAATATGGAGTTTTTAGGAGGGATATTATAAACTTCCTGCTTTCCTCTTCTCCACTTCCCTTTCATTAGCTGCATCTAGAAACACTTGGTTTGATTGGGTAAGTGTAATACTCAAATCATCATATATATGACTATATAATATTTGTGGCATTTAATGGCCATGCAGAAATACATAATTGAGCATGTTATTAGGGATGCCCTTAATTTTATTATCTATTTGATTATAGCACTGAGCAAGTTTAATGGCACTTCATTTGGCATAATTTTAATTAAAATATATGCCTTTTTAGAATTAAATAAAAAACAATGAGATATCTGTGCTTACATTTATGATGATTTTTTTAAAATCCACAATTCATGATTACTTGGATATATGAACCAAGAAAATTGCTTTCTTCCCTACTGGGATGTCTCCTTCTACCCCACAAAAATAATTTATTTACCCAAACTTGTTTTCAGTATTTCTCCTGCTAACTACCTCTAAAGAGATTTGGAAGTGAGTTTGTATTGGAAATGAATGTGAATATTGTCTGTATTTGTATGAACTTTAATTTAAATATCAGAAATTCCCCATAATGTCATTTGAATCTCATCTTAAATGAAAGTATTATTCCTTTGTTCGAAGCCTAAATCAAGTATCACTTTCTCTGTGAAGCCTTCCTTGACTCGCCCAATGCAATTAGAGAACATTTTTCTTTATTGCAGCACTTTCCACAGTGTTGTGTTTTGTACACAGCACATGGCTTCTAGTGCAGAATTAAATGAGATACATTTGTATCTTCAGATTTTATATATTTATTAGGAATTAGAAGCCGGTCCATTGGCCTGGCTGGTGATGATAGATGATTGGGGGTAGGGGGGTTTGGTAAGCAGTGGGGAGGGGCCCTGGGAGCTTGGCCAGCTGGCCAGGGGGAGGGATTGCACCAGGTTGGCCAGCTGGGGATAGGAGCCACATGAGGTTGGCCGGCCTCTGGAAGGGACTGAGGAAGGTTGGGCAGATGTGGGAGCACACTGATCACCAAAGAGAAACTCCTGCATTGAGTATCTGCCCCCTGGTGGTCAGTGAACATCATAGTGACCAGTCAATCAGTTGTTTGGCCCTTTAGACTTTTATATATGTAGATGTGGTTTGTGTCTTTCACATCCTCAGAACTTAGCATAGTTCTTGGCATTGAGAGACACTCAATAAATGGAAGATATCCTTAAAAAGTAATTTTTGATTCATTAAAATTTCTTCCTGGTAAATGTCACAATAACATTAAAGACGTGATTCTCAACTCTAAAATGTTATATAAGTGTCATAATACATGACTTAGACAAAGCAGTGCATTCTCTGTGGCCTTCATGTACACATTTATAAAATGAAGGGGTTTGGATAATATGATATTTAAAGGTCTTTATAGCTCCAAAATTCTATAACTGTGACACCTAAGAATTGAATAAATGGGAGAGGGTGATATGAACACATGTTTTCAGCCTTACTTTCTCTATCACCTCTTTCTGGAATAACAACAATTAAAACTAGCCCACATGTGTTGACTGAAAAGATCAATGAATTCTAGGGGGGAAAAGTGTAAGTAGAAAGGGTAAGTCAAGGACCTACTACAGGATAATTTGAATTAATTGTGAAACTGCTGAATTCTGGAATATTATGCACTATTAAAATTTATATAGAGACCATAATGCAATGTCATTTCATACC